CCCGGGGGGGGGGGGTGATTTCTTGCTTTCTATCCCTGTCTCTCTCTGTCTTTCTGGAGAGCACACATGCCTTATAGCAAAAACTACTCCAAAAAAGAAAAAAAAAATCTAGTGTCATTTCCTGTCACACTCTAGGATTTGGTTGGTTGGCTATTTTCAGTGCGGTTGTAAAGCTTCACCTTAATGCCATTGGCATTTTAGTGAGAAGTTGAGAAAAGCTTCAAATAGCAGTTGCTAGTCAGATACCATAAAAATGACAAATTTCTCCATGTATTCTCAAGTTTTATATTTAAATATTTAAGTCATCTGGAATTTATGTTGTATGATGGAAGTCTATTTTTCCCAAACTGATAGCCTGTTATGCCCATACCATTTCAATTCAATAAATATTTGAGTGCCTACCAATTGTTTTGTACGATTTTAAAAATAAATGAGAAATAATGTTCTTCAAAGACTTGAGTCTAGGCAAGGATTAGGTAATACACTAAGTACATGTAATAAGAGATACAACATAGTGAGTTCCATCTATAGCCATAAACGTGAATGTCATAGCACAAAAAAAATCACATTTTTTGTGTGTGTGGTAATGTAGTCAATGCCTTTTCCTGGTTTCTTAAAGAAGACTAGATGTAAGAGAGGATTATGGGGGCTGGAGGCAGGGGGAGGGTTTAGAGGAGTATGATAGTCTGGGAGAGGCATCAGGCCCAAGTAAGAAAGTGCAGTTGTCTTTGGGTTGTCTTTGGGTCACAGGCCATCAGGGGTTGACTGTGGTGGAAGGTACTGCTTAAGTAAATTTATCCTCCACTTACCCATAGCAAAACACAGAAAACACTTTGGCTTGCAGACAGGGGAGGGCTTTGAAATGACTGATTTCTCTATGTTTGAAGAGGACTAATTAACTTCATAGAAAGTAGTTTAGGTTGATGTGGAAAAAAAACAAGAGAAGTTGCATGCATGTTACAAGGTAAAGGAAAGTTTATTAAAAGTCATGAAAGTATGAAATTATATCAATACATATTTTTATACTGATGTTTAGGACACAAGTTAGTCTACAAAAGCTCGTCAGAATAAAATCTTGTGTCATCCTCATGGTCCCATGAGGGTTAGATGGCATCAAAGAGATAGCATAGAAGAAATAGAACAAACCGTTGGGATGAAGGAGAATGGTGCGTCTTCAGTGGGAAGAGTGAAGGGTTATAAAAAAAAGGAAAGATTTCTGGAGAGGTAGTGGAAAAGTGTTTCAGATTCCCAAGAGTTAAGGGAGGTGGGCAGGCAATGTAGGCCACTACCCCTGACAGAGGATCTCGTATTTACCAGAGAATGTACTAAAGGGTTTCCGGCTCTCCTGTTTTTCCCAGTTCCCCAAGACACAGAGGTTCATGGCCCAGGGTCTCCATCCAGACAAAAAACCCATATAGCCAGCTCATGGTAGGTCATGTATAGAGAGAAATTATCCCTTTTCTCTGCAAAAAGCAACTATGCTCCTGAAAATGTAAACTATGCTCCCTTGGGGAGTGAGTTCCCTGCTGTGATGTTCCTCTCAAAGGTAGAGAAACATCCTCAGCTAGCCAGTACACTCTAATCAGAAATGATTACAGCTTTCCAGGAGGTCCAACAGGTCTCACACAATGTCTGGTCAAGTTTTCCTGTTTGCTAATACCCCACCTATTGGTACTTTGTCTGCTTCTGAAAGCCATGGCAACTCACCTGTGCATTAGGTTAGGTTTCTCTACATTTTCCCTTTTGGAGTTTGATTCTGCTTCTAGATTAGCAGAGACTTTAAGAGGCAAGTCAAGAGGTTAAAATGATTGTAATAATCTACATGTTAAGGGATGAAGAGATACGGTGCAGACAAAAGAGCTGTTGAAAACAATGTAAGAGGGCCAGCCCGTGGTATGGAGGTTAAGGTGCTGGATCCCACATGGCTGACTATGCAGTTTGAGTCCCAGACTCAATGGCTTCAAAAATATATGGGGCAAGTGTGCATGTATGCCCAAAATCTCGAGAAGAGAATGGAAAAGAAAGGATTGTGGCATGGCTATCGTCCTGGGGGTGATTTCTCACTCCCTCCCCACCCCTCGTCCATCTCTGGCAAGTGCATACACCCTATAGCAGAATTAAAAAATAACAAACAAAAAACTAAAAAAGCCTAAAAAAAAAAAAAAACAATGCCAGAAATGTTAAGGAAAAAAGACCTAAAGAATCATGAATTTAAGGTCTAGTAGGTCTTGAGTACACATGCTAAACTTGAAGGATGAAGGTAAAGGGAGAGATTCGAATTGAACAGTAAAACCCAGGTGCTAAAGGTACCACCTTGCTGGGGCATGATGCTGGCTCTGAGCATGCCCCCAACCCCATAGCCAGGGTTTCCACATCAAGAGTCCAGAGCTGAGAATTCTGAAGTGGCCCCTGCAGCACTCTGAGGGCCTCAAAACCACAGAAATTAGACTGGCTGAGGATAGCTGCTAAGACTGAGACTTCACGTACAAAAGCATGAAAAGCCACAGCTTACATAGTCTTTCTTCAATGACTCCTCCGGTGGTTCTTGGTTCCTGCCTTCCCAATATCACTAGTCATTCTGTGCAGTTTTCATACTTCCTTTATTTCCTGAAGATGAACTGAATTTGGTGAGTAGGGGAGATCCCCTGAAGTCACATTTGGCAGGCTTCTGGCTAATGTATTGTCTTCCAGACCTTTATGCTGAGAAATGCAGAGAAGGGCAGGAAGAGTTCCATTTGTATGACCGAGAATGTCATTCTCAGCCTTGGCCTCTTAAGACCTGTGTTCTGAAGGCATCAAGTGGCTGACAGTGCTTCCTTATCCCAGAGCCACTCAGTTCCATCACCTTTCAAAGCTCCTGGACCTTTACAACCTTTCCCTGTAGAAAAAAACCTCAGCTGTCGGGGGGTGGGGGGGAAGAAAAGCAGATAGAGTGGAAAAACAACAACAAAACTATAAGAGATAAAAAATTTATTATTATGCAAAAAGCTATGCAAACTAGAGCCAAAGGCCTTCCCGGACAGGTTGTGCATCCTTGTATTACAGGTACCAATCAGAGTGACATCCAGGGGAACAAAATTAGAACTCAGAAAACAGACCATCCTAGAGGCCCACGAGACGTGATTCCTCTCTGAAATACTCTTATCACAGTAGTTATGGGCAAATGTCAGCTGGTTGCTGAAGACGAATCTGATGCTAGGCCAATCATTAAGGCACCAGCTATCCTGAAGAGGAAGATGAGGACTGGGAATGAAGGACAGCAGCTTTGCTTCTGGGGAAGTAGTATCTGTAAGGATGGTCAAGGAAGATAGATTTCATCGCTTTAAAATCAACTTTTCCAAAATTACTAGTTCTCTAGTTTAGTAATTTTTGAAACAACCATTCTAAAAGTCATATGCCTTCATTCTCTTTCACCAATTCATAAATACTTCTAATATTGTTGATACTTGTCACTGCTATTGTTATTTGATACACTTACACTCTTTGGATATACCTGAATTGTGCAAGCACATGAAACATGACCTCTCCTAAGAAGGCAGAGTCTGATTATGTCATGATCTTCCTGCCTCAGCTTTCCATCTGTCCACAAGTGCACATCACCACACCCAGCCTTTAGGTTGGGCTGGGAATCCAACCTGGGTCTCCCACGTGGTCCCAGTCTGTAGGGCAGAGCATCGACAGCGCACATCACCATGCTGGGCCTCTACTAAGGTTTTATAGTGATTTAAATACCTTGAATATCATCACTAGTGAATTAATTTCAGTAAGGATCTTAAGTAAAAAGGTAGAGTTTCTGTCTGACCATACAGCGCTTGGGGTTAATTCAGCTTCAGTCATTTTGGACTCTGTATAATATAGTTCATATAATGCTAATTTATATAGAGGAAATTATCAGAGGAGAATACTAGCCTGTTAAGGTAGATTCACAGATCAAAAAGAATTGCATACTGCTTAAGAATATCAAAAAGGTTCAGAAATAAAAAAAGTTCGCTTTGTTTGTTTGTTTCAGTTCATGGTTTACTTTCTTGTATTGTCTTCCAGACCTTTATGCTGAGCAATGCAGAGAAGGGCAGGAAGAGCTCTACTTGTCTGACCAAGAATGTCATTCTCAGCCGTGGTCTCTTTACTTTAGAGTGAAGGTCTTAGAATTTGACCTTGGTCCACAGATCTGAAAGATCCATATGGAAGTAATGAGAGACAGATTCAATGTGTTACCAAATGGCAACTGTTCAATTAATTGCCTCCCTCATGTATCTTTAAATCTGTCTGTTGGCACCCAGAAATGCTTGTTTCCTTGAATGTATATATTGGATGTATATATGTTAGAAAGAATTTGCAGTTTTTGTCTTACTGAAGAGGGGAATTGTGAAGAATGCAGGAGAGGAGTAAACAGTGGTAATAGAAAATGTAACACAGTTCTCTCTCGAGTTGGGACACAGTACGAAAGGATACATATAAGTTGGGATGCCTCTTGCCGCCAAGTGTTTCCGAATAAGTCGCTCAGTACCATACCAGTTAAAACCTTTTGTGGCATGTCCGATGCGTGGAAGATGAACACTTGCTATTAAAAAGAAAAGAACAGATCATGCTGTTTTTGCTCGTCAAAAATGGATTGACTGGTATACAAGGGAGAAAATAATTACCGATTGTCCCACTCAATGCATAAAACATCAAAAATATTCTGGGCAGGGGGCTACGATAGAGAAAAATTAAATTATTCTATTAAACACAAGGACCCACCAGCTCTGTAAATAATCACTTTCTAATTCCACTGTGTCTACTTAATGACAGAATCATAATTAAAATAAACATAGATTTTAACAAGCCAATCATAGATCTAACAAGCCAATCAAAGGAAGACTCTGAGATACACTATGTTTAGAAACAAAACTAACTCTTTTTTGGCAGAGAAGTGTTGTGTACTGCTTCTCCAAGAAGAGAGCTAATAAATAGGATTTCCTGTCTGCATGTGACCCACTTAATTCATTTCTGCTCCTCTGCTTTCTTGCAGGTAATATGAGGTTAAAAATACTCAGTGGATGGAAATGGTCCACAGAAATAATGGATACAAAAATGATCTGGAAAGGAAAAAAGGGCCATACAAATATAAGTTGGTGTGGTTTTTTTCTTTATCATGTATATTGAAGCAGGTCTTGACATTTCTCAGCTCCCTTCAAAAATACATCATGAGCTTAGAAACAGAAATTTATCTACTCCTGAGCACAGAGAAAGAGCTTACCTTTCTTTTTCTTTGCTGCTAAAAATATCTTTTTCAGGCCCTCTTCCAGGGCTGCCATCTTAATGCCAGACAGGACATTGGAGCGATCACGGTGCTGAGCCACAATCAAGGCCAACTGGGAAGAACAACCAGTAAGTGACTAATAGGACAAGAGCTGGCTCCACTGCCCACTGTGACCTGCCCAGGAGGGGTCAGAGCAAGTTACAGATCACTTGTGCTCCGCCTTCACCTTCTTTGGGTGCTCTGCCTGAACAACAATGTCCGACTACCTGTCTGACTCCATCCCCATCATGTTTGTTCTATTTCATTGTGTGGTAACTTTTATAGGCTTTCCTTTTTTTTTTTTTTTTTTGAGAGGTTTTTCACTATAGGGTGCGTGCGCTCGCCAGACAGAGAGAGAGAGAGAGACAGAGAAATAGAAAGTGAGAAATCACCCCACAGAGGGGATGGCCACGCCGCAATCCCTTCTCCTCCATTCTCCTCTTGGGATCTTGGGTACGCATGCACACACGCCCGGCGTGGGTTTTAAGCCACCGGGTCTGGGACCCAAACCGCAGTCGACTATGTGGGAGTCCAGCGACATAGCCATTACGCTAACTGCTGGTCCCTGCTTTCCTTTTTCTTTTACTACTACTTTTTAAATTTTTTTTTTAACTGCCAGGGAGCGCATGCGATTGCCAGAAGGATAGAGAGAGAAAGCACTCCCAAATGGATGTGTCACATTGCAATCCCTTCTTCATTTCTCCATCCTGTAAGGATCTGGGGCATGCATATGCATGCACACGCACACACACACACACTCACACATACCTGATGTGTTTTTCTAGCAACTGAAGCCAAGATTAAAACCATGGTCAGCCATGTGAGATACAGCTCCCTCAACCACTAGCCCATGGGGCTAATCCTCTTTTTCCTTTTCTTTCTTCTTTTTTTTTTGGAGAGATTTTTGTGAAAGGGGGCGTGTGCTTGCCAGAAAGACAGAGACAGAAAGCAAGAAATTACCCCCCGGGGGGGATGACCATGCCGCAATCCCTTCTCCTCTCGGGATCTTGGGCATGCACACACACACGCCTGGCGTGAGTTTAAGCCACTGGGTCCAGGACTCAAACCACGGTGGACTACATGGGAGTCCAGCGACATAGCCATTATACCAACTGCTGGTCCCGGATTCTTCTTCCTTTTAAGATATGTTAAAACCAGAGTCCGAAACAGGTACAAGAAGGCTTCAGAAAGTTTGTAGAAAAATGGAATTAAAGTACGAGCTAATTTTGGTGCAAAAATCTTTGATATATATTTTCTATTAACTTTTTGAAGACCCCTTGGATTTTCTAAGTGCTCTCATGGATGAAGAAATAATTGTTTAAAATCTTAGGAGTAGATGGATTTTAGAAGCTCTTGTCTTTCAGTCCTCTAATCAATGCTCAAGTCAGCCTACAACCCCAGGACAAGCAGTCATTCCATCTCTGAGCAAACAATGCTCATGAGGACAAAATGCCAATGATCACCCACCCTGTCCTAATCTAAGTAGGGTAGAGCTGGAGTGCATCATGGGAAATGCTGTGACTAATAGCACAATAGTCATGTCATAGACTTGGAGTTATACTCACTATAAACATTTTTCTTGAGTCACCAGATTCTGAGTTTCTTATGCAAAGATACTGTGTCATTCTCATTTTTTTCTTTTTTAGTGTTTTGAAAATTACTCAACAAATGATTAAACAAACAGAAATCACTTTGTCATTAGCCCCATAGACCACCAACCTCAAGCAAATGAACCTCTCTTTTAGCCTGGTTTCTAAATTTCTCTTTCAGTAAGTCAGCAAGATTTGTGCTTAAAATTTGAATATTAATTCCAGCCTTGGAGAAAGCTAGGTTAAACCTAAGAAATAAAACTCATTACAGGGGCCAGCAGGCTGGCATGGTGCTTAAGGCACTGGACTCCCATATGGCTGACCATGGTTTGAGTCCTAGACCCAGCTATCTCACTTACCCTCTCTCCTTCTCTGGTCAAATTAAAATAATAATAATGATGATGATAAAAACAAACAACAACACCACCTCATTATAAGTATCCCAAATTGAAGGCAAGTGGGAGATAGCTAAGATGCAAGAGGAAGATTTTGATATTGGCAGAGGAAATATGAATGGGTTCTTCTCCTGCCAAGGCCTGGATAAGAAAACTTCTTTTATAAAAATTTTCATATAAGTGATGAAGCCATCAGGGTTTTGAGTCATGTTTTCTTATTCACTCAGTAAATGTCACTGAGCATTTCCTATGAGCTAGTACTGTGAAAACAACTAAGGATAAAAAGATGAGAGTCCTGTACTTAGGAGGGGCCTGTCACCTAGGCCAGTGCAGGGAACAAGGAAGTAGAGGATGTGATGCACAGAAGTCTGGGCAACAGAAGTGAGGGCAGGGTATAACCCAACTTGCTTGCTGTGAGCTAAATCATGTCCTTCAAAATTTACAAGTTGAAGTCCTAACCCCTAGGACCTCCAAATATGACTGTATTTGAGGTCAGGGTCTCTTATTTATTTATTTTTTAAAGAGAAATTTTTGTTATAGGGTGCATGTGCTTGCCAGAGAGACAGAGACAGAAAGTAAGAAATCACTCCCCAGAGGGAATGGCCATGCAGCAATCCCTTCTCCATTTTCCTTGTGAGATTATGGGCATGCATGCACACATGCACACACACCCAGCCTGAGTTTCAAGCCTCTAAGTCCAGGACTCGCACAGCAGTCGGCCATGTGGGAGTCTAGTGACGTAACCGTTATGCCATCTGCTGGTCCCAAGGGGTCAGGCTCTTTAAGGAGGTGATTAGGTTAAAATGACGTTTTTAGGATGGAGAAAGAGGAAAGAAGCACACCCAGCAAGGGATATATGTGCACGGAGGAATGACAACGTGAGGACACAGTGAATAAAGGCCATCTCCAAGCCAAGGAGAAAGGCCTCAGGAGAAACCAAACTGCGTCACCTTGTGCTTGGGCTTCTGGCCTCTAGAACAGTGCATAATGACTTTCTGTTGTCTAAGACACCTGGTCTCTTTATTTTGTTATTGTCGTCTGAGCTCCAACACTGTGAGAGGCCAAGAGAAGCTGACGTGATTCAAATTTTAGTTCTTGTAAGAAATAAGTTTTATCTTTTCAGGAGGTGCATGTACTCACCAGGGAGAGATAGTGAGAGGAAGAGTTTGAAATCACCCTCTAAGGGGTATAGTCATGCCACAATTCCTTCTCTATTCTTTCCTCAGGGTTTTGGGCACACATGTACACATGTGCCCGGCGTGTTTCAGGTCATAGATCCAGGACTTGAACCGTGGTCAGGCCATGTGAGAATCTAGTGCTTTAACCACTATGCCACCTGCTCGCCCCAATAAGATTTCTTTTCAAACTTACCAAATCTTGTCCTTTGTTTCTTGACTCTTTGTCATCAATAGGAAATAAAAGGACACCTCCCAAATGCAAGTCTAAGGTAAAATGAAAGAAGTAATAGAACATTAAATTCACTAAGGACCAAGATCAAGATCACTAGACAACTAAAGGAGAACTACTCTCAATCCTTTTCCAAATCTGATTAGTTTTTTTTTTTTAAGAGGTTTTTGCTATAGTATGTGTGAGATCTCCAGAAAGACAGAGAGACAGAGAGATAGAAAGCGAGAAATAATCCTCCAGGGGGGATGGTCATGCCGCAATCCCTTCTCCTCATTCTCCTCTTGGGATCTTGGGCACACACGCACACACGCCCACTGTGAGTTTAAGCCGTCGGGTCCGGGACACGGTCGACTACATGGAAGTCCAGCGACATAGCCATTACGCTAACTGCTGGTCCCAAAATCCGATTAGGTTTTGAACCCCACCTTCAGACTCTTTTGTAACCTTTTCTCACTCTCAGTCACCACCTTAACCAGGTACTCACCTGTGTTACTCCTGAATTTGTATGATCTTTAATTCACTGCTCCTCAAAGATAACTAGCAAAATACACTTATAGGCTTTGAAGAGTGAGTACAGACTTCAGAAGTATCTGGGGGTGGGGGCAGGGAGCACTGGTCACTTCTAAATTCCTTTAGAAGTCTTATGTTTGCCTTAAGTCACTGAAATATTGCATTCTATTGTATCTATTATCCAAATCAAACCGATGTTCTAGATTAATGTGTCAATTTAATTCTATAGTTTATATAACCCACTTTGACCATTTTGTTCAAATAGAAATGCTGCTTATCTTACACAATCCAGTTGTTTAAGTCATATTAAAATATAAAATATAAAATATCACCTCTGTTATGCCAGTCAAATCTGCTGGTTCCGAGAGTCCTGCCCTGTTTTACACCATCCCCAACCCCTCCTCTATTATGCTTCTTACCTTTCATTTTCCCAGCCAGCTCATAAATTTTTCTTGGCTCAGCCGATCGTGTTTCCAGAGCTGTGAATAAACCACCTCTGCCCCAGCGGCCAGAATCATCTGATAGAAGAAAGAGAAAATTTTCACCTCTAGAGTCAAAATCCAGTCCACAATTTAGAAAAAAACAAAGGCACACAAAATAGGCTTGAGGGGCCAGTTCTGTAGTGTAGCAGTTAAGTGCTATGCAGAGAAAGCCAGATCCCACAGGGCCAACTGGAGTTCAAATCCCAGCACCTGTAGCAACAGGTGGTATGTGTGTGCATGCTCAGGATGCTGACGGGAAGGAGAATTGGAGGAAAAAGGATCGCACTAGGGGTGCTTCCCCTCACCCTACCTCACATGTGCACGTATGCACTCTGTCGTGAATAAAGGGGGGGAAAAAGGCTTGTGGAAGAATGACATTTCAAAGGGAAGAAAAAATCTAATCTCCTAGAAATATCAGAGGTTGGACTCCTCAGATATGCTTAGGTTTCCTGGAAGACACATCTGGCCACGATAACAAAAAAGCATCTCAATGATTATGTTCTGAATAAGTAAAATCTCTGTGGCGAATCTGTAATTCCTGGAAGATGACCAGGAAGGAGAAGGGGATGTGACATAGACGTAAATAAAGGAAAGTGAGCTGAAGCATTGGTTCTACAACAGCACAAAACTTCCATTTTACAGGTAGGGAAGAGGAATGGCAAGACGACTTACTCAAGCTGGTACTAACAGAGCTGGTGACCACACGGTAGCCAGTCATTCATTCGTGCTACAATGTGAACTATTGTTCACATGTGTTACGTGTGAGGCATTGTTCGAAGCACAATGGTTAGAGGAGTAAGAAAATAGAATCCTTGTTCCCATGAAACTTATTTTCCAGTATAATGAGACAGTCAGTTGCACGAATACAAAGGTACTATGTCGGGTGGGATGTGCATAATACAGAAAAATAGAAGAGCATGGATGATAACAGAGGTTGGGATGGAGTCTCTTTTGCATGAGGTGACCAGGGAAGACCTCTGAGAAGCAGCTTGATGTGGCAAAAAGAGTTCCAGGCAGAGAAAGCAAAAAGTGCAAAGGCAGTGATGGGCACACGCTTGGAGTTCTGCCTTTTCTTAAGGTTTTCATCTGTTTTCTCAACGTTGCCTCCTGTCACTCTCTTAAAAACCTTGTGTGGAGGAAAAGGCAGATATTATTCCATTATATGGGTAAGGAAGTTGAGGCTCAGGGAGGTTGGGTAATTCAACCAAGTAATGGAGATAGCTAAGAGTTAAATTCATGTCTCCTGACCCTAAAATTTATGCTTTTTGACCCCAAAATACCACACCGGGACCATCACTCTAGGCCAGGGTTCTACCTCATCCTCCCCAGCTCTTGGCACCATCGAGACTGAAGCCCCATTTCTCGTACCTACACAGTGCACTATGAGAGCGTCCTCTGCTCCAGCCTGCGGGTGGGTGACGTCACCGCTGATGTACTTGATGGAGGTTGAGTCTGGATCTTCAGGATCCAGCTCAGCAGAGCTCTCCTCTTCCACATCCTCAAGGTCCTCGGGCTCGCTCTCCTCAGAGGGCAGGCAGAAGGACTGGTAATTGTTGGACTCCCACCAAGCCATCCTTCCACAGGCCAGAGAGAAAAAGAAATCACCGGGCCTGTCATAATTTCTCTTGGAGCACATTTTGTATTGCTAGTCACGAACAATAACTGCCAACTGGAAACTCACCCTGAGTAAAGCTTTCTGCTTATTTGAAAATAATCAAGTCTCACTGATCAGCTTACTTGTATTCTGACTACACTTCAATAAGGAGCATCTACTGAATGTCCCTGTCTTTAAGAACATAAATAAAAGAAATCATTCAAATAAACTATGCTATCAGACAGCCTCAACAAAATCTTCAAATTTGCTTGTTTCAACGGAATGCATCTTCTCTGCTGTAGTCAAAATGTTGTGGTTAAAGTTTAATCTTTAAGGTCTGGCTCCATAGCCTGGTAGTTAAGGCAGCTGGATCTCACATGGTCCGTCCATTCTCCTCTTAGGATCTTGGGCACACACGCACACGTGCCAGCGTGAGTTTAAGCCACCGGGCACGAGACTCGAACCATGGTCAGCTACATGGGAGTCCAGCAACATAGCCATTAAGCTAACTGCTAGTCCTTCCCTGGCAAGTTTTTAGCTGATGGGTTCAGGACTTGAACCGTGGTTGACTACGTGGGAGTCCAGCAATATAACCCAGACCTGGCTGAGAAGCACATGGGGCATATGTGTGTGTGTGCCCAAAATCCCAAAAGGAAGGAGAAAAGGATGAGAAGGGATTGCGATGTGACCATGACCTGTAGAGAATGATTTCTCTTTCTTCTGTCTCTGGCAACTACACATGCCCTCTGGCAAAATGTAAGTTAAATCTTTTTTTGAGAAAGATTTTTGCTATAGGGCACATGCACTCACCACGGAGAGATAGAAAGCAAGAAATCACTCCCTGGGGAGATGGCCACACAGCAATCCCTTCTCTTTCATTCTCTTCTTGGAATCTTGGGCACGCACGCACATGTACCTGGCGAGAGTTTTTTTTTTTCTTTTTTGGGAGAGGTTTTTGCTATAGGGCGCGTGCGATTGCCAGAAAGACAGAGGGAGACAGAGAGACAGAAAGTGAGAAATCACCCCCCGGGGGGATGGCCACGCCACAATCCCTTCTCCATTCTCCTCTTAGGATCTTGGGCATCCACACACATGTGCCCGGCGTGAGTTTAAGCCACTGGGTCCAGGACTTGGACTGTGGTCAGCTACATGGGAGTCCAGCGACACAGCCATTACACTAACTGCTGGTCCCTCCCTGGCAAGAGTTTTTAGCCGATGGGTTCAGGACTTGAACTGTGGTTGACTATGTGGGAGTCCAGCAACATAACCATTACGCCATCTGCTGGTCCCAAAGTTTCATCTTTACAAAAGTAGTCTGTAGGGCCAGCAGGTGGCGTGGTGGCTAAGGTACTGGACTCCCACATGGCTGACTATGGTTCAAGTCCTAGACCTGGGGGCCTGCTTTCTCACTCCTCTCTCTTTGTCTCTCTGGCTGAGTGCACATGCTCTAAAGCAAATTTAAAAATACTACTACTAATAATAATGATTAATACAGTTAAATAAATATTTAAAAATATATTCTGTCACCAATAGCTTTAGAGTTTTCTATATTTTTAAACTGAAGTTTCACCATGGACTCATGATACAATAGTGACTCTTTACTGACTGTGACCCTCGCCTTGGTCAGCAATACTAATGTACTTTTTCTTATGATCAGCTTCTTCTTTTTTCCTCCTCTTCTCTTCCATTAGCCTCTTTCTCTTGGCTGCTGCTTCTTGTCTTTTCTTCTGTCTGTCTTCTAGCTCCTCTGGGCTCAAAATCCGTTTCCTTCTGGTAGATCCCCCTTCAAGGCCTGCAATAACAATCTGCAGGGAGAACAAGAGCATAATCAAGAAGGTCAAGAACTGCCCTTTCCTCCAAGCGTTTGGTTCATCCCTAAAGGATGCTCTGCACCAAAGCAATATGTATAATTCACAAAACACTGCACCTCCATACCACACTGTGTGGTGGAACTAGCAGCAAGACACCTTGATTTCCTGTGCATATTATACATCTTAGAGACGTGGTGACAGCAAGACTGTACTCTAAATTCATCCAGAATATTAGCATGGCGGGTGCAGTCATTCTGATTCATTTCATTAGGAATAAGGTACTTTTAAAAAGTAACATTTTTTCCTTGATTACAAACACAACATGTAAAATACCATTTTAACCATTATTAGTGGAAATCCTTCTATAACAATTCTTTTTTAAACAGTATTTCAATATCACGATGATCATAATGATAGCTAGATTTAATAAGCACATACCAAGTTCCAAACACTGGATATTCCATATATCACTTAGGACTATCATCCTCACTTAATGACACAGGGTCAAGATGATCTTTCACCTGAATTAAATCAGGTAATACAGTCTCCTTGTTGATGTTTTGATGACATCTTTTTTACAGTTTTTATACTAGGGTAGAGTATAACAACAAACACAAACTTATTTCTTAACAAATCACGCTAAGAGAAACAAAATGATCCCAGCATTGGTTTTTGTTCTCTTAGGATGGCAGTTTAAAAAAAAATTATTTTACATAAATTAATAGTTCTTACACAGCCTTTATTTCGGAGTGACCGGCCTTCTTGATTAGTTTTCTCCAAAAGGGTTTTCTGAAGATTCACCAGTTGTTCGAATGATTTTCTGTCTTCCTTACTGGTCTCTTTAGAATAATCTTTACCTTCGAATAAGTACATATGGTTCTCTAAGAATATAAAACACAAAGAAAGAAATGTCAGATAGTAAAGCAAAATAGATGAATACTATTCAGGGCAATGACTAGAGTGAACAAGACAACTGCTTGTATTCTGAATGGGCGAGACCAGCTTGTGATGAAGAGACTCCATTTCTCATCCTGACACTGATGGGCTTGGATTCTACATGGGGATCCTGGATGCTTACTTTTCAAGGAGAGAGTATACCTTAACCCCCTTGTGACCCATCTTTAGACGGTCTGTGAATCTGTCAAACCCCTCTACTTGGCTCAGTCACAGATCACTTGTCACTCACACAACCTACAGCTAATCCTCAGCACAAACTTCATTGACATTAAGATCACCTAATAAAATCTATCCTATGTACGGCCAAAGCACTTTTGATATTCAATTCTTCTTCCCCTTTTCTGTAATATTAAAAGAACAAGTGACAAATTTATGAGAAAATAAAGAATCACAAAAATAATCCTTTGGATTTACAATATTCTTTACAGATCTTATGAGGCATCTTTACCATCTTCATCATAATCTTGGTACAACCAACCCACTTATCAAAGGGAAAACCGAAACACAGGCAAGGATTAAGGGATTCCCCAATTCCCCCTGCTAATAAATGGTAAAGCCACGATGTTCTAACCCTACGGCCAATGTACTCTTTTCAGTATCACTGTGTCTATAGAGGGGTGGAGAGATAATGGGTTAGCAAATAATAATTACGGAAATAACTTGTAATCTTGAATAGCACTTTATGCTACTAGAGTACTTTCACATCTATTATCACATTTGATTTTTAAAACTCTGAAAGGGAAAAGCAGGCATTAATAGCACCGTTTTGCAGATGAGGACACAAAGGCTCAACGGGTTGGGTGATATGCCAAGATCATGAATTGAGTGATAAAGACAAGTCATAACTAGCCAAGACTAGCGACCACAGAGAGGTAAGCTAAAGATTCAAAAGTAAAGTATATTTAATAGCACATGTTATCAGATAATGCATTTTCACAGCAATAGGAAATCAGCTCTAAGTATGTTTTCCCTAGAGAGTATGAAAGCAAAACATTTTCATTCTCAAGAGATCAATTGCTTCGCACTTGTACCTAAATCTAACCAGCTGTAATTCTAATTGGCATTTGCTAATTAAATCAGCAGGGGGCTTTCAATGAAGCACTCTATCAACAAGTGGGAAAAAATAAAGAGCTGAGAAGTGTCAGATATGATCAACATATGTAGCTTCATACTGCATGCAATTCTTAACTTACAAATGTGCTTTGGAAAAAAAAAACTATGGCATTCAAAATAAAGCAGTTCTGTTTATAATTTTGATGCGGGGTGCTTTAATTACTAGTTTTTCATATTCATTTATATTATTTTTAACTGTGTTCTCTCTCCACTCTACAGCCTAGAGAAGGTTAGGGCCCACAGGTCCAGGCTCTCATCTATAGAACCATCTACCACAGGGGGACAACACCCCATACATCACAGACAAAAATCTGAATTGTAACACAACTGTGGATTTTTACCAGCAGTTAGACTGTCTGAAAAATATATCATTCCTTAGGCAGTTGGACTGACTGAGAAATAATTATCTTTCTGAAACAGTTCAATTTTATTTTGTTCTAGTATTAATAAATGTTAGGAAAGTAAGCTGAATTTCACCTGGATAAGGGCAGAAATAGATGCAAGCTTTGGTAGTTAATGCAATCAAAATATAACTTGAAAATACGACCACATGCATCTATTTCTTATCACCTGAAACCACCAAATTATAGGAAAAGGGATTTTTAAAAAGGTAAATAAATAAAAATTCAGCAACCCTTAGGAATATGGAAAGTAGCTGGAGGGATAACAGATTTAAGAGCTGTAGAAGCAAAACACAAGGGTGTTTATAAGGATCGCCAAGTGGCAATTACGGGAATAGAAACCCTCTCAATCTTCCAGAAACGGGATTTATAAGCAAATGGAGGAACTGAGAAGGTCTGTATGCCAAATAACAGGTGTGCCAGGAACCCTTAATTCACTCTGTCTTTTCAATTTGAACAGACAAATTTACTCCAAACCCTATCTCTTCCGTGGAATATATTAAAAATTCACCTCTATAGAAAATGAGCTGCCCACTGAAAAGCATTCAGGTGCGGACATCTGGGAAGGCTTCCTCCATGAAAAAGCTGGTTCAGCACTCACTGATGCTGGAATGGGGCCCACAAGGCCATCCACCTGCTCATGCCAGAGATGCCCATCAGCTTTGTGGAACCTCACCAGCACGCATGATCAGACAGCCAGAGGACAACAGGCGTTTTAGGGAAACTACTACAAAAACAAGAGATTACAAAACAAAGCTTAAAAAAAGAAGAAGGGGGAGAAGCAACTGGAAGAAAGACAATGCAATGGATGGAGGAACATCATATCCTCCCTGGAATAAGATTTTAAAATACTATAATAAATGTCCTCAAATAGGATATTATGTCCTTAAAATAAGAAAAATATACAATTAAGACAATAAGCAAAGAAAAAGAGTGCTTGAAGAACATAAACAGGATATTACTGGATTGTCAGGAAAGTCATGATGCATTTTTTTTGTCCAAAAATATGTCATGACAAACTAATATTATAAAAATTTTTAAAGCTATAAGGAAAGTCAAAGACTACCTAAATTCCAAATTCTCCACATATCCTAGAAAAATCATACAGATCAATAATAATAATAAAATCATCTCTAATTCATAACAACTAAACAATTAAGAGTCAAAAAAAGATAGCAATTTGAGGGTCCGCAGGTGGCATGGTGGTTAAGGCACCTGGATCCCACAAGGTTGGCTGACTGTGCAGTTCAAGTCCTGGAATTGTGGCTTGAAATCCCCACTGGGTGCATGTGTATGCTTGTCCAGAATTCCAAAAGGAAATTGGAAGAGAAGGGACTGCAGTGTGGTCATCTACCATGGGGATTATTTTCTCACTTTCTCTCTTTCTCTCTCTGGCAAGTACATGTGTTCTAAAGCAAAACTAAAAATACATACATACTTCCAGATCTCAACATCAGGCTATACTGAATCCCTGTTTTCACTGATACAGGAAAATAAAGTCATTTTAAAACAACCACGAGGCATCAGGAAACACAGAGCTACTGCACCAAAAAAAAAAAAAAAAATGTTGATCAAATTCAGAAACAAAAATTAAGAAAAAGACAAAAATCATCTCCTATACCACATGGGGTCAAGGAAAAGGTATAAAGATAGTCCTTACTGGTGATGGGCCCACAGAAAAAAAAAATCAACATTCTCTGTAATTTACAAGCCAACCAGACTACTGTTCAGAAGAGGGATGACCATGTGCAGAGCACCCTACAAAAGACAGCAGACTTTGCTAGTTAACGAAAGAGAAGATGCTTGCAACTGAGGGAGGAAAGATACAAACCAATCCTACCATAAGTATTAACATCATGATTCCAGCTTAAAGTTCAAATAGCCAAACTCCCACTTAGTCTGGGAAGAGTTCTTGGATTGAGTAAACCATAAACACTATGTACAGGGTGACAATGGGGTTAGGCAGAAAAAGAGATAACTCAGGGAAACAACATTCAGGACTTTCCACGAGGCTCACCTCAGGTGTCTACACAGGTCCTCAAAAAGTTCATGGAAAATGCATATTATGAAAAAAAAACTATGAGACTGGATCAATGGACTGGTGATTAAAGCAGCCTGATTGCACAGGCCGACTGTGTGGTTCAAGTCCCAGACCAATGGCTTGAGAAACATGCTAGGCTAGTATCTGAGCGTGCCCAAAAATCCCGACAGGAGGAAGAGATGGAGGAGAAGGGATTGTGGCATGACCATTCTTCATGGACAGTCTTCTCCTCTTCCTCTCTCTTTGTCTCTCTATGGCAAGTGTACATACCCTCTGGCAAAAGGGAAAAAAATGTAGATTTCAAGAATTTTCTGTATCAAAATGAACTATTAGGTCATAGGAACAGTTATGACGTATTTTTTTCTATGCAAAAATGTGTCATGACTTTTCCGACAACCCAACACTACTTTAATTCCATCTTTCTATTAGCCCTTTGAAGTTTGAGAGCAGTTGTGCCATTAGCTCTGCTCTAATCTCCAACTTACTTCCGTCTTCCTGCTCTCTGCTCCCTCCTGCTGCTGCGGGCAAGGCCTCAGAGACCCACTGGCCATCTTTTGTTTCTCCCAGGATGGACTCCAGGTCTACTTCATCTATGGTGCTTCCGTCAGAGGACAGCAGTTTATCCAAACCGAATTTGAGTATCTCACTCAACTTGAATAGAAAAAAAAAATCCAGTTAGTTCTCATGGAAACAAACATCAGGATATTAGTGACTCGCTAAGTGGCAGACAGCAAGCACATTCCTTCCCTGATGGACAGACAACCTTTCCTCTCTCTCTGTCATAGAGGCCACCAGCCAGGGCCATTTACTAGCCAGATGATAAGTAAGCAGAAGGCTTAGTGATGATCAGAGCTGTTGACTTTGATAATTCTCTTTAACACAAATATGTAAGCCTCCAATTTTTTTTTTTTTCTTTTTTGGGGGAGAGGTTTTTGCTATAGGGTGCATGCACTCACCAGACAGATAGAAACAGA